TTGTGTACTGTCCCAAACTCATTACGTGCTGAAAACTGTTACCATTGAGGTAAAAGTTTCCCCCGTCTTAACCAATCAGAGCAGCGCATTTGTGGGCCTTGAGAGGTGAGTAAACTTTACTCAAGCGAGTAAATTTTACTCATAATAATAAATTAATAAAGAACAAAATACGTAAAAGACCTTATTGAAATGCTAGCGGTTTCAAACCCAACATAACTAACAGGGGACGTGCAAAATATTAGACGGTTTGCTGAAGCGTGGAGAGTAGACTGTATGCTTGACACTTTTTTATTTGCATGCGAAAAATTATTAAATGAACAATTACTAATGAAACAAAACAGGAAACAAAATAAGGTACATGATGAACAAATCACAGTGGCAAAGGTATGACAAGAAAAGTTTAAGCGATAAGAATCAACTACCTTTATGAATAAAAAGAACTATTTCTTTGTGAACCGCTATGGAAATAATTTTGGCCATGTTTACCATGTATAAATGACAGAGTATCAAATTGCTATGAAACAAATGCAAATTTTGAGATTTTTCCATTTTAACGATGACTTCTAAAAAGCGTAGAGGTATGCAGTGTTTTTCGTTCGGCAGGTACAAGAAATAAAATTTGCTTTCAGTCTCAGCAGGGTTTAAAACGCAAAATATCCAGACTTGTGTTCAAGCTCTTTCTGGGAAAGTTCTTCACTCTTTCAAAATATTCTCCTGTTACTTTACACTATTCTGCTGCTACTGCGATTCTTAATGAAACCACTGACTCATTGACTCTGTGGAAAATTAGACTTCTTCAATGACTAGATGACTCAAGATGTTTAAATGAGTCAGTTCATCCCAACAAGTGGACTGCTTGTTTTCACAGTTTGCGACACATTCTACAAGGTCATCATGTTCGTCTTGGGTGTACTCAAGGGAATCTTTGGCATCGCAAGGGTTTCAATAAGCACCGACGACCGGCGAAATGCGCCGGTTACTTTGCTCAGAGAAGTCGCCTACTTTTCTCTCTGAAAGAAAAAGCAGCTAGTGCTCACAGTGTTTTGTAAACAAAACATATATTATAAAAACTGAATGAAAACATAAAGGCTTACTGGTTTTGAGTTATGTTTTATTTTGAAAATGCTGTGCTTCAGTCAATTTTTCACATGTTTCTTTGGAGGTTTACGTGGAATCTCTTCTTGCGCAAATATACGTAATTTTAATTGTGGTCATTTGTTCATTGCTTGTAACAGCGAGTGAAATTTGATACAATTTTGAAATATCGCGAGTGGTATTTATGCCAAATATCACATACAAATCATGCTATTATTTGTTTATACTACTACTCACAATAGGTTTGTAATTTTAAGCTGAAATACCACTACTCTAAGCCAATCAAATTGCAGAAATTTCTCATGTAGTAGTATAAATGACTTGAGAGCAGTATTCACCTAAAACAGCAATATCCTCGAGACATACTGTAGCTCCTTTAAACTCACAGTTCTTTTATACTACAATACATATCTGATGATATTTATTGCACCGATATGCTCTCAATTTTGAAATTTTTCCATTTTAACGATGACTTCTAAAAAGCGTAGAGGTATGCAGTGTTTTTTGTTCGGCAGGTACAAGAAATAAAATTTGCTATCAGTCTCAGCAGGGTTTAAAACGCAAGATATCCAGACTTGTTCAAGCTTTTTCTGGGAAAGTTCTTTGCTCTTTCAAAATATTCTCCTGTTACTTTACACTATTCTCCTGCTACTGCAATTCTTAATGAAACCACTGACTCATTGACTCTGTGGAAAATTAGACTTCTTCAATGACTAGATGACTATAGATGTTTAAATGAGTCAGTTCATCCCAACAAGTGGACTGCTTGTTTTCACAGTTTGCAACACATTCTACAAGGTCATCATGTTCACCTTGGGTGTACTCAAGGGAATCTTTGGCATCGCAAGGGTTTCAATAAGCACCGACGACCGACGAAATGCGCCGGTTACTTTGCTCAGAGAAGTCGCCTACTTTTCTCTCTGAAAGAAAAAGCAGCTAGTGCTTACAGTGTTTTGTAAACAAAACATATATTATAAAAACTGAATGAAAACATAAAGGCTTACTGGTTTTGAGTTATGTTTTATTTTGGAAATGCTGTGCTTCAGTCAATTTTTCACATGTTTCTTTGGAGGTTTACGTGGAATCTCTTCTTGCGCAAATATACGTAATTTTAATTGTGGTCATTTGTTCATTGCTTGTAACAGTTGATTGTGTGGCAGATAAATTGGAACTTGAATAAAAGCTACATTTTCTTAATTCAGGGACAAACACACTCTTTTGTGTTCAATTTAGTCCCTGGAATGTTGGAAATTGCATTTTAGGGCTTTGAAATGTCAAAATTTTTTGTCAATTACAGCTGTATGGAGCATGCTGCACTCCCAGACCCCCCTAGAGGTATGGGATTATTGGCCCCTTGTTGATACAGTCAGTTACTCTATTCAAACCTGCTTGCTACTTCAATTATTATTGAAACCCCCTGGTGTCATTCACTGTCTTATTTACTTCAGAGGTTTTTTTTAGGGCTTGTATTTCCACTTGAGCTTCATTCAGTCTAGCTTCCAGGCTAAAAATTTCTTCTCAAATTTTAGTATCATCTTTGATAGCTGTGAGCCTTAGTATGAGACTCTGATAGTCTGTTAGCGTCATTTTAATGTAGTCGCCATCTTGGGCTGATTCAATGGAATCCATGTCGGTGCCGGAGCTGCTTATCCTCAGCTGCTTTTTATCTAAATCTTTGTTTCCCATGTTCGTAACTGCTGTGGCAATGTTAGTAAAGCGAAAGATGTAGAACAAAAATGCAAAATTCACTGTTTTGTTGATTTCTCAGAGCCAGGTTGGCGGAGCTTTGAAATGTGCATCTAGCTGCAACAGCTCATGCCCATTCTCCCCCTTTTGTGAATTTTATTCTCACTGTAATTGATTGGGGAAATTACTCAAAAAAGTTTAATTTTTTATGAGTGAATAATACCAGCCTCTTCTTGTTGAGGAGTAATTTGCATGATACTTTAAATTTGTTTTATCTTGGGGCAGTATAAACAAAACATTTTATCACTTAAAATTGCACAGCTAAGCTGTGCCTTGGTTTGTAGACCATTTCTCAGTTTCAAAATTTTATATAAAACATTCTCAAGATAGACCCTATTCTACGGTTTTGCGAGTTTTGATGTCCTGTAAGCTAATATTCATCAACATTACTCACCAAGTTTAAATTTAATATGTGCTGGCTCTGTGGAGCTATATCTTTTTCAGTTTTCAACAAGTTGTAAGTTTGTCAGAATTGGTCAGACCAAGGTATTAGTGGAAAGATCTATCTTTGCTGAGGTTTTTCGCCATCTTGATAGCTTAAACTGAAAGCTAAATTGGTCCAGGAAGGAAAATATGCATCGTTCCGTATGGAACAAAAACAACTAAAGCTTTCGTTAAAGGGTAATCCAGGATTTTTACTTACTGTCTTTATTTTAAAAAAAATTAATAAAACTATGGAAGTGTCTATTGATAAATCATATCAACAACATTGTCAGTTTAGGTGTAGACTGAATAGTTGTTTATTTTTTCCCCAGCACAATGAATCCAACAGAATAAGGAAGTTTGTGATTACAGACTGCGGCTGCACACTGGTGGTGAAATGTCATAATAAAGGAAGCTGCATTCAAGGATCCGTTGTCTTTGCTTCATAGTAATTTTATCACAAAGCAAAGGATATTTAATGTGCTATAATGGTCAGAGTCAATTCTCTTTTCTCTGCAGGTACATTTGGGAAATAATTATTTGATAACCATTTCAGGTCGTTATTTCAGAGATGGTTTGCCTGTCCACATTAATTAGCGAAATAAATTTTATGTCAGTCAAGTGGCAGCAAGAGTTGCATCAAGAATGAAAGTGGTTTTATTGTTTCAGAGGATTTTACTTAAGTGTATGAATGCTGCTTTTTTAGTATGCTAGAGTTGAGCTTCCAGAAATTCAAATTCTCAAACCCTGTGTTAAGTTAGCAGCATTCATACATTGTTTGTATGAGCTTGAAAAGGTCTTGCATTGTAGTTGTCATCTTAAAAAGTCCTTGAATTCGCTTAAGGTCCTTGAAAACACTGGATTTCTTTAGTAGGTCTTGAAAAGTCCTCAAAATTCAATACCCTGTTACACCACACTGTTTTTTGTGAAATTAGTATTTCGTAGAGGAAAATTTGGCTCATCCTTGGTGTAAGAACCTGTACAACCCATGGATAATCTAGATGTTAAAAAATTTTTACGCATGAACAATATTTTATTTAATCTGTCTCTTTATTTCAGATTCTATTTCTGTACCGAAGATGCAACTTCAAGTCATACCCAGTCGTGTTGTCACGGAAAGTGATAAGACTGAGGAAGTAACAATTGAAATGTCTCCATAGTTTAAAAGAAAACTGTAATTTGTCCTTAAAAAGTCCTTGAAATTTGTTGGTCTGAAGTAGTACAAACCATGATTTTGTACATGTCAGTTTTGATCAGTTGATGAAATGACATCACTGTGACTCTCAATCAATTTCTATTGTTGCCACTCAACTGGAACAGAAGATTACTACAGGTATTTTATGATGGATGCACTGCCAAACCAAATAATCATGGAAAATCCAAAAAATAATAATCTAGTTAACCCTTTAAGCCCCAATATCCACACACAAATTCTCCAAACTGATCTCTATACATTTCCTTTAAGAATTAGTTAAGAGAATTTGATAAAAGATCAAAGTATTTTCTCTTAGGTGATCATTTTATTAATTCTC